TCTAATATGTATATGCTGGCAGCGCAGTTTAAATCATTATGTTGATACTCAAAGAAAAACCTTTATAAGCCCTTTTTACGATTTGCGCAGATAGAGAAATATTAAATTTTACACGTTTAAACTTATGTATTAATAAAGAATCATGTTTTCTTAACAAAAATCAAGAGTTCCCCTCTTTGGGTTAATATGTGTTACCCTTAAACTCGTATAAAAACGTAAATATGATCATCTTTTTTACGGCAAAAGTAGCAATTTTTGTAGGCCCATTTCGCCTTCAAACATTTGTTCATTTGTTGAGGCAATTTAAATTGCAACTATAAATATAAACGTGCTAATTGAGTTAAGCGAATCTACTACGTATGTAACTACACTTACGTCGATTTCCTTTACATCGGATTGAATCAAAATACACTCATCTCAATACTGTATTGAACGTTTAATGCATTCAATTCGACCACATGTGTTTGACATATACATTGTATCTAACAATACAGTATTTAACATTTTGATACAATCTGATATCAAGGAATTCGATGTAGACCTGCAGATCATAAAATTCGAAATGAAATTATGTAAAAGATCATGTTTATCAAATAACCTGCTACGTGTTCCTGTTCCGAAACGTGTTTATTTTGATTCTACATGTTTTCAAAACATCATTGGCATTTGCAAAGTTCTTGATCTCTAGAATATAATGTCGATAAGAGTCATTACATTCTCCCTTCACGAGCGGACAACATGAAAGTTTGGTATAAAATTCGAAATGTTGCTGTTGTATTTAATTGCCAAATGTCCCACCATCAAGTTTCTTAAATTTTATTTTGTGAATATCATCCACAATATTTTTTTACTAAGCGCATAGTATATATAGGGACAAGTATCCAGCTAATTTCTTAACATAAAAGAAACTATAATATGATTGTGAGAAAGTGCCTCTGACTAATCAAGTGTCAAGACATTGTTTAAGTTGTTACAAGTTACAACGAGCGACAATATTGATGTTTATGTTCTCCTCGAGCTTACAAGTGCATATCCAAAGATTAATTAAGCAAGTTCAGCTACACAGCGGTAGAGATGACACAGAGGCGCGGCGCGTAATGACACACTGACTCGCTTTCACGTGCCACATGGGAGAACCTTACTTTATATATTTTTTATTACATAAGATTACCAAAAAGAATGTTTAATGTCATTTAGAGAAAAATAAATCTATTTAATATATTTGATCAATTATTAGATTTCATTAAGAGTATATTTTGTATGTCTCAAATCTAGATGAATATGATGCTTCTGAATTATCTCTCGCCCGTATATTTAAAATAAGATTTGTTTATAGTACAACATTTCTTACTTATAAATCTTCTAATGTTTCTTTTCATATGCTTATTTCTTTCTCTTTCTTTTTCTTTAAAGAAAGAGAACCGACTTCAAAAAGAGATTGTATGTATATGTATATATGTTCGGATGTTAATTACGCGATTTCTCCTCCAATTCGCTTACAATTGGCAAATTGGTCAAGAATAGGAAAAATTAAAAAATATCACGTGTTAAAAAGATAAACCGGACTTAAAAAACGCGAAAAATATAAATCACCTTAAAGACGGTTAAAATTAACAACCTCCACAAAAAACTTCAATAAAAATTTCGTAAACATACGCCAGCCGTTTCCCGAATGTATTCCTCTCGTTGTGGATGTGTTACATAATATATGTATATTAATTTATGACATATTCTATTCGCAATGTTCGTCGACGCTATATACCTTATCTTTTTTTGATAATTTTCTGGAACAGTAGCTGAGTAAGCTATTTTTCTATCATTACTGTTGCTCTTACATATTATTTAATTAATGTGTTTTATAAAATTATAAATTATGAAACGGATATTGTTGTAATCTTTAACGATATATGAGGCGATCCGTGAGAAAGATTGTGATCTATGATATAAGAAAAATGTATTAATTTACTGAATATGGCGATTGGTGAAGTCATTTTCTATCATCTTAATAGATTCACAATCACTACAAGCATCGTCTATTAAATTCTATTCAAATAGAGTACTTAAATGGTAATGAGGAACGTGATTTTGAGTAATGAGGTTTCACTTTCATTTACCATAAATATGTAAGCATTATTATGATTAATAATGAAGAAAACGTTTAATAACGATTGATTGATTGCAGGTAGTTTGTTTTTTAATACATACAATGCATACTTTAAATGTTACATATAGAAAAATCATCTGAAGGCCTACTATGTTCATGAACAAAAATTCAATAAATTTCGTTTAGTTCTTATGCTTTTGTTAAAATCATAACTGTGAAGATCATACGTGTATGCAGAGGCAGTATTATTAGGAAATGTGTTTCCTTGAAGTCATATTAATGTTTCGAAAATAGACGAAATTTATTTTTCGTAGAAACTGACTAGCCTTTCCGCATTGATACGCATTTCTAATTTAAGTCTAAAAACTTATATGTTATAGTTTGATTAGAGTTGACGGAAATTTAAAACTGGACATGCTCATTAACACTTTCACCTCAGTTTCCGTTACATTCGAAAATTAACCAGTAAACATGATACTCATACTCAGCAGGTGAAAGTGCCAATGATTATTGATAAGATTCGAACATTTGTACTCAAATCCGTGCCAATTTTATTGAGTAAAATCATTTTTTCCATTTCGAATTCCACTTCTCCGTGGCGAGATTTTTGTCAGTTGCTTTCTTAGCTTCAAAATATCTAATGCAGTTGCATTGCTGAAAAATATATTGGGTCTGCTTGACTATTTAATTTGTCACGAAAAATAATTTGGGCCCCAATTTTGTTAATTTTTACTTAATGATAGCATCTTAATAGAATTTCAATTCGGTACTTGCATATTTCCATTATATACCCGAAATCCAATATTATTAGTGCAATGTCTCACAGACATTTTTATTATTTTGTGGTCTAGTAACAAGAACTATGTCATTAAGGGTGTAGTTGAAGCGCTACTGACCTTTCATAATCACGCTAAAATAAGCAGAATTGCCCTAAATAAAAGATGGGAAAATATTACATGTTAACCTGAAATACTCAAAGTTATTTTGTACTTACACTTGCGTAATCTAAGGCCCCTCTACATGAGTGATAACCAAAACGTGGTAATCATTTTTTGATTCGTCTCTCACATCATACACACCTTGAAAAATATCATTATTTCTTTATCAGTAACTGATAAAATTAGGAATATTCAGCAAAAATATATACAAGAAACTATTTCATAAAAATATAACATATAGTAGGATGGAAATTTAATATGTTAATGTTAATTTTGTTTTTGTACAATAAAGAGTATATACTTAATGAATATATACTTAGTATATCTTTTATATATGCGTTATCTGAATTTTTAATTAAAATAATAATGGCACGCAATGGCTCCGATGAAATATAACAATAAATATTTGATTGGAAATCACTAAAAAGGTTGGAAGTCCTATTTGAATACCATTAGCAAAACATTAGACCAAAAATATTTCGTAACATCTAATGTCACATATTCAAAAGATTTAAAAATGAAAAGGTACGTTATTAAGCTACCCTTTTGCAATGCGTTGTTGCTAAAGTCTTCAGAAGACAATCCAGAGATGAGCAACAAGCGTGACGCATATTGCAAAATCAATAGCACAACAATGGTAGCCCATCTCGTGTGGACTTATTTCGCAATGTTACACGTTTACCCACTTCTGAAAACGTAACTGCAATCAACGCACATCCGCAATTTGCAAATTAGAATCTCAAACTGTTGTGTTTTTTTTGTACACATAGTAAAATTATACTGAACCTTAAACTAAACGAGAAATGAAACTCTGTCAACTCTGTTTGATCGTATATTGAAACTTTAGAGCCAGAAAAAATTAATTAACATACAATTTTCTTTGTAACTATTATATTCATTCAGAAAATGTATTAGTACAGGAAAAAACTTTGTCAGAAACCTTGGAATTGATTTATTATATTAACTAAGAAAAAGTTAAAAAAACTTAAAACCTTCTTTTGTAGTTTTCAAATTGGCCATTATTTTTAATAATAGTTTTAAAGCATACAAACTTTTTTGAAACTTTTGAATTCGACTATATGTATTCCCCTTTTTATTTAGATACGCTCGAAGTTACAGATCCACGTATATACTCAAAAGAAAACTTGAATGAGTTAAAAGATGCATCGTGTAGCTATCTCGTTTTTATCACAACCTATTTACTTACATTTCACATATTAACGTAAACGAGAAACCCCGGTACACCTATAAAATGCGAGCTCTGTGACGCGTGGCCCACTTTCCACACACCGGCTACACATGACGTTTCTAGATATTATGACCATCTAACTCTTATTACTTTGTGCGTAAAGTCTATATTTACTCAATTCATTAATTATTCAACACGAAGGAATCATCAGTTGCGTGTAATAAAAAAAATGAGCGGATGTAAATGAGCTTTTCAAATACGCGATATGCGAAAGATTATTTTGGCAGATGTTTGTAAGTGAAAGTGCAATTATGCAACTTTCTATATCTGAGCAATAACTCGAGATGTTGCTGTAATGTATACAGTTTGGTTTTTAATAATATGAATATTATTTATTTCATAGATTCAAAAGATGTTAGCTTTTTACATATTATTAATGTATTTGTATGCACATTAAAAAAACATTTTGCCATATTATTTTTAGATAAACTTATGATTTTATATTATATCACTTATTCAGTACCAAGTAGTAGTTAAAATTGAGTTATTACAAAAGTATATGAATATTTCAACAATATTTCGAGATAAATAAATATATAATTTTGGTGAAAAAACGTCCTAAATTAACGTAATTCCGAATTAGTTTTAACGTAATCAATAAAAAATTAATTTGTAGGCTAATCTATATTAGCTAGATAATTCACAACACAAATCTATCACATCACTGTCGAATCCCTTATTTTCCACAATAACACAAAAAGGCTTCTACCTTCCCAGGTGTTTTCAGATACGGTAGCAACTGTTACAGGATATCACAGCTCCGGTCACTGCTCCTTCAGTTCACAATCACAATGACACAGTCTAGTAAGGTATCACCTGTCACTTTCGTTTTCGCGGGTTCGCGTGCGCATGCCTGTGCGCAGTTTACGGGTGGCGAGCGCACTGGACGCGGCGGCCGGCGTGCACAGCGTTTTATACGCGTGAAAGTTTCCGCTGGCGTCTGGTCGAGGTGTTCCTATCCCGGATCGAGTATTATTTTGAATTTTGAAATCCTTCGGTGACGTTATGATGACTTAAGAATGCGTAGGCGCATCTTGTATACATACATTCTTAGTGACGTGATTAATAACTTTCTCGAGTATCCCTTAGGTGTGTCTTAAAGTTTACCTTCTTAGGCTAGTCTAAATTAAAAGAAAATATTTTTATTGATTGCTTAATTGAAAGCGTTTCGATCAGAATAAGGAAAACTACGATATGCGGAACGTCAATCTAATTATACAAATAAATTTGCGGATAGAAAAGTATAATAAGTTAATAACATGCTTTATTAAAACGTAGCAGTATTTTCAGGATACTATTTTACTTGTTACATGCCATAATACCTATACGTTTAGGTAGCTTTTAACATTTAACCAACTTCAAAATCCAAAAGGAGGAAGTATGTTCGACAAAGATGCATGTTTTTAAATACGTAGTCGAATAGATAATTTTAGTTTTTTTTTTATTTATTATAAATTTTATAGTAAATAATACGAAACTGAATTCTTACAAACAATGTAAAAAGCCAAAGTCAAAGTCAAAATAATCTTTATTCAAATATACTTCTTAAAAGTACTTTTGAATCGTCCAACATTTTTTCCCTACCGCTCGTTCAGGACGTCTTTTGGCTGATATGAAGAACGAGCAAGAAACTCACCAGCTCTGATAGGAGTAATGACATTTACAAAAACCATGTCATTACCAGATCAATACATAAAGAGAGAAAAAAAAGAAACTATGGTCTTATAATGATAACATAATCATTTAATAGTAATGGAAGCAAGATAATTTTTGATATATAATGAGTTAAGAAGTAATCACCTATCCAGTTGCTGGATCATCTCAAGTCCAAGCATTCTTATCTGTTATATAATCGGATACTTTATAGTAAGCTTTTTTAATAAGTATTATTTTAATAGTAGATTTAAACTGCATGATATCTAATTGTTGTATTTTGCTTGGGACCTTATTGTAGAAGCGCACACAAAGACCCCTGAATGAGTTATTAACTTTTTGTAGTCTAGTGGCACGCACCCTTAATTTATTTTTATTTCTTGTATTAGTATTGTGTACATCACTTTTTATAGAAAATAAACTAATATTTTTACGAACGTACGTACATTATGTTCTCGTATATGTATTGAGAAGCAACAGTCATTATGCCTATTTCCTTAAATTTCTCCCCCAAAGAGTCCCTAATCCTAAGATTATAAATTGATCTAATTGCTCTTTTCTGAAGTACAAAAATCGTTTGTATGTCGGCAGCATTTCCCCACAATAGGATTCCGTAACTGTAACTGAAGTATACTAATCTGGCAGTGTCTATGTCATTTAACCTACGTATCTTCATTACGGCATATGCTGCAGAGCTAAGTCTACTCGACAATTTATCAATATGTGGGCCCCACTGTAGTTTAGAATCTAATGTTATTCCCAAAAATACTGTGGTATCCACAAGGCCCATGTTCTTATCTTTTACATTAACCTTTATATCTACTTTTTTAACATTAGGTAGTACAAATTTTAGTCATTTTGTTTTTCCTACATTAAGGAGAAGATTATTTACATTAAAACAAATGTACTACTTTAGCGATAAAATTGTTCACATCGTCATTTAGAGGTAGCTCTCTTTTAATTTTAAACAAAAGTGAAGTGACACAAAAGCCACTGATAATGTGTAAAATAAGCCCTACATCTTACAACTTACATGCATGCATGTCCATATTACTTTTCTTCTTCTTTTTCATATTATAATTATTTTAAATATTGGGATCAAAATTTAGTTTTTGGCAAATGTTAGGAATGTAGAAGCGATAAAACTTTATTTCAGACAGACAAAAAGCGACATTTGAAAATTTTCAGTGGTAATTTAAATCAAAACTGATAAATGCCCCTTGCATTTGACGGGTGCATCATTACCATCATCAGCCCTTATTACGTCCCCACTACAGGAGGTCAAGCCTTCTTTATGAATGGTTAAGAAAGATAGGCTTGGCTCAATACGGATTGGAAGGTATTTACGACTGCACATGCTGCCTGTACCAACGGTTTAACGTGCTTTTAGAAGCACGACGTAGCTCGAGATAATAATTTTTTGGTCACCCATCCCGTGACCGAACTTTGCTATGGTTGCTTAACAAAAACGATCGCGAAAGCGGTGCTTATCCACTACGCCATTGAGCTACGTGGGTGCAATTCGTATGTAATAAGCTCAAGTTGGCATGTCATTTAGTAGTAGTTTTTCCTACATAATCAACGATAATAGTCAAATTAAAGTCAATTTACTTATGAATGAATTATACATTAAGTTTCCTCATAAGTAAAAGTTACGTGAAAATCCCTTGATGTAAGGAAATTAAAATAGCATGCAAAATAACGTTCACTGAATTTGTACCATAGAAATACATCCTCTAAGTTCCTGTGTAAGTAATATTCGATTGAACTTTCAGGGTTGGTGCGAAAGATCTTTTAACGATTCACTGAAATATTTGTTCGGAGGCCTACTTGTCTAATTCTTAAGTCTATCCCCTGCTTTAACATTTGAAAGATATTCACGAACTTCATTCTACAACTATTTGAGATGTGATAGCGACTGAGGTCGCGACGTTTTTTTTAAGAATATTGTATTTACCATATTATTAATTTAATATGTTTTTATTAAGTTTCATGATCATTCAAATCATCATTCGTTCCGACAGCGATTGCTACTTTGAACGTTACATTATTCCATAAATTTCTATCGCAATCGTATAACTTTGAAGGGGATTACAATATATCAAATGTTGTCATATAATTTGTCACTTCTGGCATTCCACAAACGACGATACGCAACGCATTTTCAATATACCTACATATATATCGCACACCTAGATCTAAACTAAGACAACTCAAAAAACTAATGCGGAGGTCTGACAATACATTTGTTTACGTGGCAGGAGCGCGACCACTGTTGATTCAACAAAAGAAAGCTAAAGCTATCTAAAGGCTCATCCCGAACCTTTATTGAATCTGTTATGTTGGATAGATGCGTATGATCACCGAGTATTTGAATATTGTACTAAGTCAAAACTCATTAAAATTTTTGAGTTGTCTCAGTTTAGATCTAGGTGTGCGATATATATCCTTAAGTTTGGTGATCAACCTCCGGTCTACCGTCTTACTCAACGGATAGTTCGTCACGTACTAAAGCATATCTTCCGTCCTATTTACATCGACCTTAAATAGAGTGTTCAGCTTAAAATATATTGCAATTAAACTAGGTATTTAAGAAATTAACAAATCCCTATTATACGACTATTTAAAATTAAGAAGTAATTTTATTTTTACACAACGAAACATGTGAAAATGGCGAAGTTAATTTCATTAGGCATTTTCATTCGAATATGTATCACACAGAGGGCTTAATGTGGGGTGCAACAAAAATACGTTATTGTTACTCTACCGACTGAATAAATAAAATGTTATGAAATTACTTTTTCTCTAGATTAACAATTATATCACAGGGTATCAAAGTGAGGCGATATAGTTCCATATGAAGTGCATCACTCATTAGCATAGGGTGGTTTTTCCTTAATAACAGACATACACAAAAAACCTTCCAAGTGCCAGTCGGGCTCGCGCATGAAGGGGTTCCAAACCGAAAATGAGCAAGAAAATCACGTTTCTTATATGGGAGCCCACTTAAATATTTATTGTATTCTGTATTTTAGTATTTGTTGTTGAAGCTCCGAAACTATTGGAAACTTATTTTAAACAAGACATCATTATTTGTGCTGAATAAGTTTTTAAAAATTAGGTACATATATGTTTTAAGATAATTTAATGAAGGTATAATTTAATGAAGGTAATAAAAATTACTATAAAGATCCAGGGTAGCTCAGTGGTTAGAGCAGTCGCCCGGATTGCGAAAAGTCGTATGTTTGAGTCCCGTCTCAGAGAACCTCGGGGCAAAGTGGATTTTTAAAGCATATTTCATTTAGAATATACAAATCTCAGTAAACATCTATTTAAAATAAGGAATTGAGAAATTAAGAGTATCAGTGTCAAATATAATAATTAGGAATTGAGATTTTAAGCTTGAGATAATAAATGTATGATCAGCCATCTTGTCACTGGCCCTAACCACTGCGCCATCAAGTTCCTGATAATTAATTATTTACGTTACGATAATCATAAAACCATGCGCCTGTAAAATTTTAATATCAACATCAAAGAAAAAAAACTAAACGCTACTTGCATCAGATTAATTTCAAACACTCTCGTAATGAAATATCACATTGTTCTTCTAATAAATAATTAAGGTAATAAGCGTCTGTTACACTGTAACGGGTGCTCGCTTCCGAAAAAATATGAAATTGTGAAAATGGTGAAATCGAATAAATTGCCCATTGTGTTTGTTCGCAAGGTGCACGAATTCGTTTGGATATTACTTTCATCTCGAACGTGTGGCACCACCGGCGCATGACTGAAATTTTCGAGAAGTGACAAGTCGGCACTGCCGCAGTGTCATCATTTCGCGGCTCTATTACGCAATCGGTCGCTCCATTCATTGCTTCGATCTATTTGTCGGTAAAAAAAAGAACTTACGTCGTGGTCGTGGTTGGTTTTCTGAGCGGTTCAACTGTTTTGTTAAGATTTTGGCAAAAAGGCTTTTGTAATGCGAATTACATTAGCTTTACCATTCACTCTCTCTTTAATAAATGATATATGACTGCTTATATTATACAATTCTACACCTAAATTAATATGAACCTGATTGCATTTCTTTTTCTTTTTATAAAATTTGTCCAGTCTCTTTAAATAAGTAGATAGGTCAATAACTGAATAAATTGTTACAGGATAATAAACAATAGAACTTTGAATAAAGGAAAATAATTATACAAAATAAAACCTTA